TGTGTGTGTGTGTGTGTGTGTGTGTGTGTGTGTGTGTGTTTTTAATGCATGTAAGCAGAATGATCTTTTATCTTCAGTTACGCAAGCGGCACATCTGTGTATATCAGACCAAAAGCATTTGCAGAGAAAACACTGTATTAAAATTCCTGGTTCTGGTCTCATTCCCAGGGCTGTGGGAGTACCTCAGATTGCTCAACAGTGACCCCTCTCTCAGCCTCCGACTCCACCAGGGAGATGCAAATTAAAATGCCTTTCTGCATGTTCACAACACCTACCAGTCCGCACGTTACTGAACAACACTTTGTTTCCACCCCCGCTGGGAAGGGTGGCACATTGCCCAAACGTCTCGGAGGAAGTATGCAGGTTTACCCCTACGTTTGAGACCCAGACGGGCTCTAAATGTGTGCGCACCTGATCCTGCAAAGCTCCCATCCCCATGCAAGACAAGAGGAGCTGTCGGTGTAATAAAAAGGGGCCTCTGCTTCTGCACAGCTCCTACAGTTAGGGCTACCTCCCTCCGATGGCGGCAGCCTGAAACAGTCCCAGGGTGGGGAGATGAGCAGTGCTTGCTCTTCCATCCGCAACTCAAAGAGTCCCAGCTGAAGAATCTGGTTGTGGAAAAGCTGAAGTGCCTGAGTGTCAAAATAATAAATACAGCGATGACCTCATGGTCTGGGCAGCATGTCACTGATCTGCTGAATAAGGGATTTCAGACACGCCTAAACCTCAAACCTTCATCAATTCCTTTCATGTCTGAGACCTGCTTTTCCCTCTTACGATGCTGCCTAGGCTTATTGGACCTCCTAACAATTCTCAGTTGGAAAAATAAGGCAGCATAGAGCCCAGGCAACAGATGGCGTGCGTGGCGTTTCAGTTCTGCTGTCCCTCCGCGTCCACGTGACAGTCTCTACGGACTAGCAGAAGAGTTCTGCTGAATTCGATTTAGAGTAACGCCGAGTAAAATGACCCGGGCGTAATTGCTAGTAAACCATGCTCCTGACACGCTGACCCTTCCGGTCAGGGGAGGGGAGGAAGAACTCAAGTTGTGGTGGAGAAAGCACAAATGGATCAAAATTGGGGTTTTGAAGAAGCAGTCAAAAGTTTCAAGAGGCCAGATCCCAACACGGCATAACGGAGAATACTATCGCTGAAACACCCAAGTTTCACCTGCTGAGAATTTGGTCTTTGTTGCCGACCAAAGCAAACTGAGTCTCTTGAAACTCAAAAATAAATTTCATTAGGATGAGGTTTTTCTCATCGTCTTCCCGCAACCCTGGGTCCAGTCTCATTCAGAAACCTTAAATTGCACATTCACATACTTAAACTCAAATTTCCATTTTTGTGCGGGTCTAAACAGGTTGCGGGAAAACACTGAGAAGTGGGGGGCACGTCTGAACTTATTTTAGACAAACAGTTCTCCCCTTTGCTGGCAAGCAAAGGTAATTCATGGTTGGGACGGACAGAGACAAACACCTGTGCTTCTGCCCTATCAGAAACCCAACATTTCTCCTGTGAATCCGTGGTTAACATAGTGAGCTGACAGTGCTCCTTGAAGCAGCTCAGTTTTTCTAAAGATGCATCGATTTGCCAAAATGCTCCAATTCTGCAGGCCCACAAATACAGCTACACCTACAGTAAGTGGTTGACCTTGGTGTAAGGACCTGACCCTGTCTGCAAAAAAAAAAAAAAAGGTGGGAGCTCACTTACTTGTAGGCAGAAACTAAAAGATGCCTTAAAACACGTGCAACAAAATCCCACCTCTATCCTCTTTATTAATTGGTCAAGTTTTGACCAGGGTAGCACCAAAGTCTGACCTTGACTATGCACGTACGAAGGAGCTTCCATGGAAGCAGCCTAATTCGATCTGTTGTAACTCAGGTGTCAGCACAGCATATCTGGATTTGTTCTTCCGAAAGCCAAGAGCAGCTGTCAGCTGTTTCAAGAATGATATACATTTCCTCCGAAAACCTTTTTAAAATCATTCATGTATTGATTTCAATGTATTAGTCTCCTTTCTTTTTTTTTTTTCTTTCAGTTGGTCATTTTAAAACACGGCCAAATCGGTGAATGAAGTTGAGACCAAAGGAGCCTGCAAGCTGGAAATAACTCTTGTGTGAAGTCTCAAAGAGTTAATGTACAACCAAGGAATTCCTCTAGCCACATCCCACGGAAAAAGCAACTTAAGTAATTTCAAGCTCTTCAGGTTCAGTTTGACGTCAGGGCGCAGCACAGCAAGGATAAGGAACGATGGCTGGCCTCTATTTTTTTTTTCCATGGTCTTCACCCGCATTTGAATGGGCAGCCAGCAGCCCTCCCCAAGCGTGGCCTAGATTTGTCAGGGCAAGACATGGTCATCACGTAATTTAAATGGAGCGTTAGATCTGTTACGCTGCTTTAAAAAAAGTGCATAAAGCAGCCCCTGAGTCCTGTCTAAGTGGCAGCTCAGACCTGCAAGAGGATGGAGAATGATGGTTGCAAGTCCAGCCTTCCACCCGTACATGCGTCCCACTGTGCAGGTGTGCGTGTGCATGGGGGGAGGAAAGCCAACGAGTCTTTCGGTCTCCTAATGATCGTCTTCAGATGTGGTTTCTGCCTGACCACCCAGCCTCAGTCTGAAGAACTTGCTGGGAAGGTCTCCAGGGGATGGATGAAGCAGGAAGATGGGATGCTCCCTCCTCTTGGGGAAGCTGTGGGTATTCACAGCCCTGTTCAGCATATGGGGGAAGGCCACCCCTCGAGTCCCGGGGCAGCATGATGGCCTGGGCTACCTTTCTTGGCAACTGTACGCATTTGTGTAAGATGCTTTGCAAATCCCTTATCTGAACCAGGAATGCATGGACTGAAGGGGCCTTTCCTAAAATTTTCCAGAACCCAAGCTGCAGTATTACTCCACTTGCTTCTCACCCCATAAAACAATACCAGAAAAAGGCACCGACTGGCCCTTAAACACGAACACCAGCAGCAACGCATGGATACAAACTCGGGGCCTGATGCAAAGCCCGTTTAAAGGAGGCTGTCTCATCAACTTCAAAGGGGTTAGCATCGGGCCCCTATAGTGAAATCCTGGCCCCACCGAAGTTAATGGCAAAACTCCCAATGACTTCAAAGGGGCAGAATTTCACTCTTACTCCACAACTGTGAATGGCTGTTTTAAAACGCTCGCCCATTGTACTACCTACTTCTATCAGCAGGGGAAAAAAACAATTCCCTCTTTATGGGGCTGTGCAGCATGCCAAGTGAGAGATCACTTTAGAGACTTAAAGAAGCAGAGGCTTTTTGCTATTTATGAGGAAAGAGTGCCCCGGGTAACCGAATCTCGGAGAACCAGAATCCCGCTAATGTACGAGGAACCATAAAGTGAAACGTTAGAAGTTGGCTAGCAGCAAATGTGAGACAGACTCGTCTACTTTCATTGTCTCCCACGAACGAAGTGCAAAAAAAGGTAAATAAACCAGAAGGGAAATGTCTTTTCCACTCTGTTTTTTAAAACATTTAATCTCCCTCCAATCTATGTACTGCCACGGCATTTGGTGTAATATAATGTCATACTAGCAAAACAGGGAGCATTTTTTTTTTTTTTTAAAGAAATCCCTTTTAACTCAGTGTCAGCCTTGGCAAAAGAGGCTGAGGCCCTCTGACCTAACGAGGGCCCGAGATGAGGGTTTCTTTTGAAATTTCCATCTAAAACCACCACCTGTGCGGTATTATCCTATGGCCCAAAACAAGCTCCACGTCTTGCGAAATGGTGTCACTTCAGCAGGGCTGATTTTTTCCACTTGCAGAGCGCTTCAAGAATTATCTCTGCATTTTTTTTTTTGTTGTCAAGGGACAGTAGCATAAAATATTTAGTGATTATAAACAGAGCAGAATTAAAAAAAAAAAAAGCAACTGCTTGAAACGAGAGCTCAGGATCTGATTTCTTCTAACCGGATGCCTGCAAGATGTCACTGAATTCTCTCTCCATGCAACCCGTGTGGAGCCAATATGAACTCCCAGCAAAGTGCTTAAAAACCCATTATTTATAATAACTGTTAAATGATGAGACATTGTTTACCCAGATCGCAAGATAAATTCTCACTTACAGAATGCTTGTCTGACTGTCCTGAACATCATCTGGTTTTTATTTAAATGCAAAATGTAATTACTCTCAATAACACAGCAGAAGAATTCAATAAGATATGGCTTTGCACTTATGGTTTAATATTAACATTTCCCCATAAACGTTAATGAATAAAAGTCTACTGCTGTATATTTTACATGCGATTGAGAGGAATGGAGGGAGGGAAATATTTTCATATCTGGAGCGCAACACTGAATTCAAGGGGAGCTGGTGGTTTTTGGACCCTGGCTGAGACAGCACCTCCTGTTGGCATCAGACTCAGAGCGTCACATCCAGAAAAGACAAATCCCACGCCTTCAAGAAGTGGCAGGAGAGGTAGCACAAGGCTGAATGACTGCATCTGTAAGCAAGGTCTCTGTTGAGATAAATCACTCTGGGCTTTTCCTTGTCTCTGTTGCACACCTAGTCCCATCACCATTGGACCATCTGCTGCCTGGACTATAGCAGCAGTTACAGTCTGCTCCCACTGGTCTGGGTACGCCTGCGATGGATGCAGTCTCCTTGTGTGGCCCCTTTGAGACGTACCTCCAACAGCAGCCGAACCGCAGTAGTCTGTCCACTTTTGGGGCACCCGTGCAAAGGGTGAGAGGGTTCTGGCAGCCGCTTTGCATGGTTTAAGCAAGATCCCTCCATCCAGCAGAGGAGCCCGCTTGCCTGAGCTTCATGTCCTCAGGCAAAAGACTGCTGAGGGCATGACTCTTCACTGCATTACTGAACAGCAGTGATGTTGGTGCAGCGGGTTCAACGGCTGCAGAGTGACGTACACTGAAGGTAGCGCTGGGATGAACTAGGCCTGTGGCACTTAAGTAGCATGTTCTTTGCTGATCTCAAATTGCTTTGCTAAATGGGGAGTTCTCCCCATCCTACAGCTGGCAAAACAAAGGCGCACATGCTTGCCTGACAGCAGAAAACAGGTCAGTGCCAGAGCTGGAAGCAGAAGGTCGGTCCACTGACACCCCTCCCACTGTGCCACCACACTGCCAGTGGCACGTGCCAGCTAGTAGATGGCATACGCACACATTGTTGCTGCTTAAAAACTCATGCTTATGTCTGGGCCTGCAGGACCTGTGTGCTGGCTTTGCCTTCACTCCTCTATCACACTGCCACCCAGAATAGGATTTGGCATATAAAACACCTATATAAACTTCCATCTGATTCAGACACTGGATGATAGGGGCCATTTATGCCTATCTAGAAACATATATTTCCCCTACCCCATGCTGTGTCCTACATGCAAACGCTTGCAAGAGGCTTTGAAAGAACTGTAGGGAGCAGAGACGGGGAAAGTCCTCTTACACAAAACAGTTGACTGCACATGGCTAGTGCAGAAGTGGCCCCCATCTCATTTTCCAGAGCTTTGGCTCGTAAAGGGAAGGTTTAGTAAAATGAGAGCTTTTCAACCTGGCCAGCATGATTCAAAAAAAGAACTTAGAGGCCTACTAAAACCCAACAGGTTTGGGGAATATAGAAATAGGCTTGATTAAACTGCAAATGCCTTCTAAGGGCCTGATGCAACTAAAAGGCCCCTTGCAGGATGAGACACAAGAGAGCACCTCCGTGCTCCTGTTCCCACTGAAATCAATGTCAAGAGCCCCAAGGATGCAAAAAAGCTTGTTGCTTTAAAAGGTCCCCAGTGCACATCAATGCAGATGAGCAAAGCCAAGCTAAAAGGCAGGCTGCTTACCATCTCAGATGAAATGCTGGTGTCTTGTGGTAAGGAAAATAATTTACTTAATCACTTAAAAAAAACCCAACAACAACAAATCTCTTAGGAGAAAGTCAATTGTTTGCCTGCTAACTGCTCTGAGACAAAGCAACGGAAGGGAAATGTCCAGTTCCAATCATTTCGTAACCTGATTACAGCCCGCACAGAAGATCTGAAACACTTGGAGAACAATGATTAAGAAATTAAGCTTCAAATTAAGTGCTCGCCCTATATGGGCCTGCTTCTTCCTATGATACCGGAAAGGGCACGGCTGGGCTTGCTTCGCGCACAAGCTGGTGATGGGAGTGTACAGCCCAGTGGTGAATCAACTCAGACATTTCCCGACCCCCTCTGCCATCCCACCATTTCTTTCTCCAAGAGGAATGACAAATCTAGAAATGGCACTGCACTTTGTTTCATGACGGTATCGATTTTCCTGGACAGGAAAAGTGCATTTGTCCTCCTGGCCCGCAGGCTGGCAAGAAAGGGTTAACCAAATGTTTATCACAAGGCTGGCTTCAGAGTTGAAAGTAATGTGATCAGTAATGAATTTTGTGTTACATTAGGTTGTATAAATGGACAGACAAGCGCAGACAACAAGTGGCCAGGAGTCGGGGCTAATCTAATGATGTAAAAATAGAGACAGCACCAATTATACTTGGGGCCAGCTCAGAGCTCCTGCAGGGACTGCAAATGAATAGGTACAAATCAAATTACTGACTAATAGACGCACTACAAGAGAGGGCAGTCAATGCTAAATGCATTAGGGCCTTGTGACCTCCCTGCTCTGAACAGCAGAATCCTAAATTTGACTTAAAAAAAAAAATCAAAGAAACTCTTGTTCAGTTAAGAAGAGAGATACAACAATGTGACTTGTGAAATGATTTAAAACGTTCACATTTCCCCCCACCCATCCCTTTGTTATGATATTCTGTATGGCTCGGGCATTGCTTCAAACCTTTTTCCAATCTGACCCAGGGTTTTTGCTTTGTCAAAACATGGAGAAATAGTCTTTGTGCAAAAGTTAAGACCTGAGAACAATACAGTTATGTTACATACCAAAACATTTCAAAGCCATGTGCCTCTTTGTGGAGATGTTTTTTACTGCTACTTCAACGGCTGTGTCTGCATCAAAAATAAAATAGGTCTTTAAAAAAAAACCCTTTAAAAAAAAAAAAAAAAGAAGAAAGAAAGAAAGAAAAAACGGACTTTCCCCCAAACAACAAGCGATTATCAAGAAATGCAGTTGACCGCCACCTTATCGAATGGTAGAAAGCCACATTTGTTGGTGGGCATTTTGACCCTCTTTGGAAGCATCCCCGCATTTACAGCTGCTTCTCTGAATGGCAACGCACCCAATTTCACATTGAAAACATTTCAGTATCAACACTGTCTCCCTTCAGAGTTCCCCTCAATAACCCCAAGGAAACGTCAGTCAAAAGATACTGTAGCTCTTTTCCAAGGTCTGCGTGTCTAAGGGGAGCTTGGGAGGAAATGGCTCGTTGGGCAGACTATGGCTGGAGCGTCCCTGGCAGGTTTCAAAGCAGCTGATAGCCAAGAGTCCACGGATTTGGAAACAGTTATTAAAAATGCCTCTGTTGGCCCGGCAGTGCTATCCAAGGGGTCTGCTTTGGGAAGGGTTATGGAGAATCACATAAAATGCACACTTATGCGGCTCGTTTGGTCCAGGGATGAAGAGAGCGGTAAGTCAGCATGAGGGTATCTGATGTACTTAGCAGGACATATGTAGCTTACTAGCTAAGACAGATGCACATATTCTGTGCGCGGAGACATAAAGCCCATGAAAACAGATACAGGGTGGAGATAAAAACATGCAGACCCTACATAAAACGAAAGCACGGGGAGGGCAACGACAACAACAGGGGGAAAAAAAAAATCACACTGAAAAAATGAAACTTTGTCGTCAAGTTAAACAGCCCTCATCAAAGGGCTGTATTAAAAAGCTATCAGGCTGCACTAAATAACGTACGTCTGCGGACAGAGACGTGCGTGCAGGCGGTCTGATAAACCGGGCCAATCCTCAGCCGGCAGAAATCAGTGCAGCTCCACAGCCGCAAGTTAAAATGCACCCATTTCCGCCGGCTGCAATGCTGGGAGTCGCACACCGATGTCTGCAGAGTGCGAAGGCTGTCCCTAGAGTCCCTTACGCCACTGGGAAACGTGAATGACAACCCCTTTGGGATGCAAGAGTGGTAAACGCGTGATGGTCCTAGGCAGGGCTTTGAAAGCTGTATGCCTTAAGGAGGCTAATATAGTAAAATGTATCAAAAGACGTAGTTTAAAATGAGCTTTGGGAGGGAGTAAATCGCACTGTGCTCTTGAGAGCAAGATTCGGTTTCCAAGCCTGGGTTAAATGCCTCAAAAGTTCAAAGGCCACTTTTTAGTACAAATGTTTCCTGCCATGCCTGTGGACTTGCTGCCCAAGCTCTTTTTTCCACTGAATCTATGCAGAGATCTTATTATCTAAAATGCTTTTTATAGGGAAAATCAATTATGCTGAATTCTTGTCTCCCTGCTTCCCACTTCAAGGCTGGAATTGAGAGAGGCCGAGAAAACGAAGGGCACAACATTGCCTCAGTCAAAGGAAGAAAAGGGGCAGAGGGAGGAGTGGAGGGGGATCCTATTTTAACCATTTATCATTCACGCTGCATCGCTGCGTCTAGCCCATTCCTTGGATACACATCGAAACCCAGGTGTCTACTCATCCGCCCGTCTTCTCACCCACGGCTCGTGACCTACTCGTTCTTCCTCTAGAGAAGCAGTGCAACATCAGAGGAGTTGAATTAAGCTGGGATGGGCAGGGATGAGGCTCATTGCTTGTCGATTTTAGTGAGACACACATTTTTGAAGTGAATAAATGTGCACAGCAACACTTGGGACTTCATGTCTAAACTTTAGCGATGGACCCAAAATACAAGATTCACATAAGGGCTCAAAGACAGCTTCCCTTCTGTCAGGTACTCGGGTCTGGGGTCGGGCAGGGGGCTGTAACAGGCAGTCACAAGTTCAATTTTGGAGCTCTCCTAAAACTCAGATCCAGGGTCCTGGTGAGGGGCAATCGCTAATTAAAAAAGGGCGCTGTTGGCTCCATTTATCTCATTCCATTAATCAGATTAGGAGGTTGAGGCAGACTATGAGCTTCAATCAAACCAACTGCATTCATCGGATTATGAGATGGTTCCTGGAGATCAGAAGGAATCCAGAAAAGACTCGTCCTGTGGGACATGCACAAAAATCCCTCTCTGTGCTTTTTTGCTCAGGGCCTTTTCTATTCTGAAACTTCCAAAATTGCTATTTGATTGAGTCCAGGGCTTTGCATAAGAAAATCAATCTTAATGTCTCAGTTCTAGTCACCCTATAATTGACTTAAAACATGCCCTTTTCCATTCTACACTAAACCCCACGTTCTTACTGTTCTGTACTAATTTCATGAGGTTTCTTGACCATAATGATGGCTGTGATAAAAACTTAGTCTAGGCAAAATGTCTTACTGAAGCTGGGCACAAGATGTGGGGCTTGTTGTTTGAATACAGGATTTTAGTTCAAGCCTGCTCTATTCCTGGTGAGGGACCCAGATTAAAAGAGAGAAACCGTCTTTGGCTGTACGACCTGGGATGCAGAGTGAACGAATGCAAGGCACTGCGTATTTCCCAACGTGTAAGAAAGTATGTGTGCCTCCAAAGAAGCATCTTACAAATATGCAGCTAGGAAAGGGTTCCAAGGTTTGCAAGATCATGTGAATGATTATATTTTTGGTCAATATAAAGTGAATATGGGTCAACCGTATTATATTTAGGCCGAGAGACACAGTTTAATGGAGACGTTTTAGCAGATGAGCATATTGATGTGAACTTTAAATTATATATTGCCAGATTCTACCCCTATGTGGTTCCATTGACTTTGGCAACAATTCACTGGTAGTACTGCATCTGGTAGAATAACAGGCCCCTGGCAATGAACGGTAGCATCAAGTTTTCAACCATGAGTCAATGGAAGAAAGAAAATCAACCACAAAGAAATACACTTTGGGGGACTGCGGTTATATGGTCCATCTATACATGATGGACTATGATCTATATAGCATTTGGAAGCTTATGAAATGCGCATGCCGAGGGCTTGCATATCAAAGGATTTACTGGCCACAATTATTTTTCAGGGGGGAAAAATTTCTTACATTGGCTGGCAATTTTTGCATGTCAAAGTTGAGCTCAATAGTTTTATAGAGACTTCTCTCCTTGAGACAGTCACCCCTCCATAAATCAGTGTCAGCAATACTTTTTATTTTTTTTTAAATGCCATGTGGAAGCCACGACACAAGCTCAGGAGCTGTATTTCCAATATAAATGTTGTGGTTGCTCAAAAATGAAACTTTGTAAACAAGAGAGGGCACTGACCACGAACATTGCATGGGCTGATTTTTTTTTAGTCAGAGCTTAACAAAAATTGCAATGGCAAAAACATCTGTTTTGGTTTTTTGCATCTAGGCCAATTTACGCCTTTTTTTGGAATTAAATGTGTATCCGGGCTGACAGCTTATATACAACAGACTCCACTTAAGATAGACACGGGTTGTCTGGATAATTGGATAACAGGGACGAAAGCTGGTTTCCCAATCAAGTTGACTTGCTGTGTGACTAGAGCTATCATTCAAGTCATATAGAAAGTAGATTTTTTTGGTCCTTTTCCAGACCTGGTTCTTCTCCCATCCACTGTCCGACAGCCCTTGGCATCCAGCCTGACTCATAGATGGAAAAGACTCATTCGGCCATCTAGCTCATCTCCCTGCCAGTGCATGATTGTTCCTCATGTTCCTAATGTCTGCCAGTTTGATGCTTTCTGATACAACCAGAAGCTACACTGACTGCTGTTAACTAACAAGTACCTAGCACTCCTGACCAAATAATGCAGTGCTGCTGCTGCGTTTCAAAGAAATGGGGTAGGTAAGAAACAAAGAATTCATTATTCAATATCTACGGCATAAAATGGACCTCTGGATTGTGAGCATGTGTTTCATCTGTACTATTTTATTGTATCAATCCTGATTACTATATAAATCTACATGCCAGCTATGTCCTAACAGTTAAGGCATTAAAAGAATCTATTTATCTCATGCCATTAAGTGCATGTCAGAGACAATTGAGCACTTGGTAATGTCTCCCTATTCTTTCTGCTGTCCATTTTTACTTCTGTCCATCCACTGGTACTGAGCACAAAGCAGCAGCGTGTAATTTTTTGACTCTGTGCGAGTTGCTTTTATTCTTTTGTGCTTGGTTCATGTCAGATTTTGGGGCATTTCAGGAAAGGTTTTTAAGATCACTTTTAAACTTTGCACCTGCAAAGAACTCACAGAGCATCGACCAGGATTAAAACCATCACTTCAAGTCCAAACAAGTCACTTCTAGGATAATTTGAGCTGGGGATGATACATGGTATCATTTGGGGTCCAGTGCAGAACTATAAATACTGTATTTGGGATCGGTAATCATATAGAAAGCGATCGGGTGTGCAAGGAAACCAATGTACGGCGTTCCTCAGTGCAGACATCCTTGCCATCGCTTAATCCAGCTGATTGGGCAGAAGGGGATTCTGGCAAGTGAGAGCCATGCTAAAATGTGCTGGGGGTTTTTTAAAGACAGTTAGTTCAGCCTAGGTCTGTTAAGATGTGGGCAGCTTCTTGGCACTTACAATAATGCTTCTTACTACGAGCCAACAAGGACACTGCTTTTTCAGATCAGGGGCAATCAACCCTCCATTTATCTTTCTTCTACTTGCCAGCCAACATATAGATGCTAATGCTTTAATGTGATACACGGCTGTCTGGCAAATGGCTGGCTGCCAGTCTGTCTGAGAACAACCACCCCGCGTTAATGATGCCGGATGATACCCTGAGCAAATGGGGTCTTCCACGTGTCAACGGAGTGGGATACAATACTACACAAAGCCACTGAGGACTGGCAAGGGGGATAAGTTCAAGAGTTGATAAGGACTGGGAACAGAGAGCCTTCAGCAACCTGTTTTGCTCATCTGCATCAAGGCCAATTTGACAGGATTGCAGCTCAGAGTCCCCTTTCCTGAGAAGAAAATCTATTACTGATTAGAGAAAATCCTGTAATAGGCACAAAAAAAAAAAGTAGAGAACATAACAATAATGGGGTAGAGAGGTCACGCCTATAATAAATCACAGGAAAGCTGGGTAATGCCCACACTGCCCATTCCTGAGCTATGATATGCTTACGAGTGGCATGTATTTTCCTCTGTAGAAAACTGATCTACATGAAGATTTAAGGGCATTTGTACGCACGCTTGCACCGCAATGCTGGCCACTTCTAAAAGCGCCTGGCGCTGCAGCACATGCAGTTGTATAAGCCGCAAAATGCGTGTCAGCGCTGAGAAAATGGCAGCGGCGCGCTTTGGCACTGAAACGCATCATTTTCTGTGCGCGGACGCACATTTTGCCACTTATACAACTGCATGCGATGCAGCACAGTGTGCGTCAGCTTGATTAATCGAGTCTGCCCTGACGCGCCGGCTCTCTGGTGCGTCACAGCGTGATAACGTATGTGTATAAATGCCCTATGTGCCTGGGTGCGGGCAGAGGGAAGAAGGGAAAAGTCTCTCAGGATGACCATCAGCTCAATGAAAGCTTCCCTCTGAACATGGCTCACCTTTGCTTTCAGCCTTACAGCACTTCTACAGTCTACAAATCGTGGGTCTACACTTCATCTTAGTTGCATCCATGTAACCCCACCGGAGCTGCCCCTACCCCCCCAAATCAACAGGGTTGCATTGATGAAACTGAGAGGACGACAGAGCCCCACATCACTTGCTTATTGTCTGCTTTATCATGTGCAAACATCACAGTTCTTGGGAGCACTTACGGTAACTTAAGTAACACGCATCAGTTTCTACAGCACGAGGCTCCACGGAAATTACCCGTAACCATGGAGCGGTCCTGCACGCAGAGGTTCTCGTAAATGAGAAGATTATATTTTTGACCCTTTTGAATCAGAGCTCTTGCAGTTCCCGTGCTTGTGAGCCAGATACTAGATCCGAATTAAGCAGGACAGTGTGCAAGACGAGGAGGTGTGTCCAAAGATGGCTTTCATTTCACTTCTGCAGTCCCTTGACCCTCCTGCAGCTTGATGACGGCTGTAGATATATCGTCAGGTTGTAAGAGCCCCATGTAGCTAAGGGCAAAGGGCAGAGGCCTTCCAGCAAGGCTGCCCTTATTGCTAGTCATTTCTCTTTTTTCCCTGCTGTGCTGGTAGCAGGGAGGCTGAATGGTGTTTGAGCGATGACGTTGCCTTTACAGTGCTTGGAAGAGCCTCCTCAAATTAGGATAGCTCCTCCCTAGGCCACTCAAGCCAGTTTTAGAGCCAAGCTACTACACTGGATGCATGGTGCAAAAGCAGTCACAGAAGAAAACCTGGCCCCATATTCTCAAGGGTCACTAAGGCCTGTATAAGACCTAGCTGAGGGCCAGGGACCAGTCTGCACCAACTGCAGTGTCATTAGCCACCTGCACCTAACCTCTTTACACTGCCTTGGCCTTTAGAGCAGCCATTGTCCTACAACAGGCTGGGAGAGAGCTGTCAAGTGCACAGGCTGGGAAGAGGTTGCTCTTCTGAACTTCCAGTGGCTGGTGTCAATGAGCAATTCAACATATAAAGCATTTGGCTGCTCAGAGCACTTGGTAGATGGGCTGATTAAGCTGCAGAGCCACCCTTTCGAGTGCTGCTATCCTTGTCCTTCAGATGAGGGAACCCAGTCAAAATGACTTGTCCAGCAGAGCAAGTAAGTGAGAATAGATACCAGTGCTGGAATGGGAGCCTGGGTCTGGTGCTTCGACTACACCTTTCTGTCAACTACCAACTAATTTGATCCCATCTTCACTCAACAGTAGCAGATAAGTGAGGCAAGGATGGAAACGGTTCAGGAATTTCAAGTGCGGGATATAAAGGTTGTTTCTGAACCAACCCAGCAACCACATTATTTATCTGAGCCAACATGACGGAGGTCAAGGCCTGACTTCCCACTCTCAGCATCGTCTTCCTCAAGACAGCAGGAGCTGGCAGCACCATGGTGGCAAAGCTCGGATGGATCGTCTCATGCTCCTCAACAGTGACTGATGGGGCTCAAGTTCAGTCCTCTAAAGTTGGACTAATGATCAAAGGGGACTAAAGAGAAGTTGGTGTAATGAAAAACCCTCAGGAGTACCCCAGGGACAGAGCTGAAAACAAGAGAGCTTCCAGTCTACAGGGCCCTTATAGGATGTCAGTATGCTACGATGTTAGGTCATTACTGGCGTAGTTCATTCTCATTTCCCAGGCATCTTGCCAACACAGTGACAAGTGAATTGGCAGCTGATGTTAGAAGCTACCACTGATATTAGCTGCCAGTCTCAACACAAATGGGGCATGGACCAAAGATGGATGCGGCTTTTCTGCTAGAGGGTATTTTTAGAACAGTCGACAGGAACGAAGAAAATAAAAACATCATAAACTCAGAGCGTTAACGTTGCATAACATATCCTATCCCCGGGCCCCCTAGGAGCAGCATAACCTTGGAAGTGCCATTCTGCTTATGTAAATAGACGGTGTGATTTATCAATATAATGGACAGTGATGAAGATGGATTAATTTGGATTACAGAACCAGCACTTTACAGCGGCTTTATGCAGAACACATAATTACACACACACACCCTAATTGAAACATTGTTTTGATTGTGGAATGAATGAGCAGCAGCGTGCAGGAAGCATCTGATGCTCAGGGGGGCTCATCGCCACAGGACGAGACCACAGCAGGCTGGTGTTGCCTTTAAAGGCACCTCGAGGACTGGCCCTATTCTGTCCCTTAGTCACGTTCTCTCTCTAAAGGACAACGCCCCGGTTTGGAGAAGCCCCTCACCAACACCACCAAAGAAAAGAGGAAAGCAAAATTGTAACGAGTTTAAAAAAAAAAAAAAAAAATCACCATTGTATGTGATCTCTGATCACACCTCTTCTTTGTACCTGTTCCTGATCCCACTATGTCCCTGCTGGGCGACTCGGACATGGCATCAGCCAGACGCTCTCGAAGCCCCTCCTCGGTGTGCTCGATGGAAGACATGTGACGGAGACCGAAGCTCTCCGGCCAGCTCCCGCAGACTTCCAGCAGGGTCACGCTCCGATCAAAGGCACCTTGAACAAAAAACGGGAGACACGCATTGGCGAGGGCAGGCACCAACACTCAAGCGCTGCCCCGCGACTTGTCCGCACGGTGATAACTTACGAGAGAGGAGGCGCCATTTTGGTCAGGCGCTCACCATGTACCTGGAAGCTGGGGTTTGGCCCATTCATTGAAATCATGATGGTAAAACATGCATCGATGAACAGCCACAATGAATATAAAATCTTGGGCCGTTCAAAAGCAAAACTTTAACTGTCAGGTTAAATTTTGTAGTCAGCAGAACTACACGAGGGAAAATCCTGCTTCAAATGAAACATTCGCATCCCCATTTATTTAAAAAAAAAATAAGAATATAACCAGTTTTTAAAAACAATCTGTATTTTCTTCCCCTGAGCAGTAGATGAACTACGTTCTTTCCTAGCGAACCCAGTTCTTCTTTGCTAAAAGCCACAATTTGCAATCCATTTTACTTTCATGTGTCAGTTCGACACTAATATATTTGGGCCACCAACAACTATTTTGGAGTGGGAAGGGGAATGTTAATTTGGTTTTGGAAAATATCTCCCGGCTGGAATTAAAAAAATAAATACATAAAAAACAGGGAGTGGAGTGGGGACTTCTCTCCTTGGTCTAAGGATCTGTGCGATTTTTTTGTGTTTCTACAAAAATGGCATTTTAGGCCAAATTAGGCTTAGCAGGGCCCCTTTAATCAGTGATGCAATACTGAAGATATTGGCTGCTCGGATGGAGTTAAAGTATCTAGAAGAGATGCTTAAAATAATTCCTTAACTTGCTGTTGTTTCCTAAATCAAAATAGTACAGGATGTTCTCCTAAATGCAAAGATTAGATTCTGAATCCACGATCACTTCAAAGTACAAATTAAAATTATTCTACTTTATTATACAGCAAGTCTTCTGTGAAGGCCTATGTTAAATCATTCCCACTTGGAACAAGATTACAGTTATGCTTTGTTGCTTCAAGCACATACCATTTACTCAACTATTAGGTAACTGAATATGCAGCATTTAATGTGCCTGCTTTCTGCCAGCCTACAGAGGGGAAAAAATGCAAATGCCAATGTTTCTCAAAGTTAAAAGTACATGAAACACGTCCTTGTTATCAGGCCTTTGGTTCTCCCCTTTGATCAGCCGTCAGAAACTATCTACGCTTGTACGCTGTGACTGTACAGCTTCACAGCACACTCTCTGCCAATGACAGGTGGTAATAGAAAGGGTGAGAGACCAAGGCCTGCGGCAGGCGTCCCTTCCTCTGATAACGTCCAAAGTACTGGGTGATAACCGTTAGTAAACACTCGGGCAGCCAGTTAATCCATACATCAGCAAAGAGGGGCAGATAATTTTGAACTCTAATGGCACGGACAAAAGCACAGGGGCTGGCATGCAGGGATTTATATGGGCTGCAACAGGGACTTCCGGCTCCTGAATTTCATCAGCGTGCGCAAACTTTGATTTATCTCTTTGCCTGGCTGCGGAGCAGATTCCTGGCACTAGACAACCATCAGCACGGAAAAAGACCTCGACGGCCCGGGTCTGGGGCTGGTGTGTGACCCGTGCACTTGAACTCTGGCCGCGTCCCAGGCTGCGCCTATAGGAGGGATGACCAAGGAGTTCAACTTATTAATGGACCTTTCCGGCTTCTAGCTTGTCAGAGAGAAACCCCAAATAAAGCCTGTTTGAGAACACGCAGTGAGGCTGGGGAAGTCTGTATTTAAATCGATGTGACGTTTCCATGTTGTCAGCCCCCCCCCCCCTTTGTGTGTGTGCTTAATCTTCTCTTATCAGAACAGGGGGGCTGGGCTTCACAACCCGTAAGGTGCCCTCCAGCCCCGAACAACTATGAAACGATGAAAAATTCCTATGTTTCTCACCGGGGCCGAATCCTGAGCGGCCTTGCTCACCTGCTCCTCGGCAGTCCCTGTTGTGAGGTCCATGGAAGGACCCAGCTAGTTCCTACGGGAGCTTTGTTACCGAACGCAAACAATGGTGAGGCGCAGGGAGGACTTTTGGAAGCTCCTCCAGGTCTTCCCTGTTGTGCTAGAGCGATCTAGTCTTTATTCAGCGTCAGCTCCTACTCTGAAAGCAAGAAACGAAACAATTTCTGCCCTTCTGAGCAGACATGTGAACAATAAGGCCAATGGCTTTTGAAGCGCTGCCAAGATGACTGCATACGTGCACAAGCAGCAACTCTGCAGCGCGCTGGTCTCCAGTTCCAGAGATACTTGAGCGAGAGCAAAGGAGACAAGTGGAGCATTACCTCTGCAATCAGGCCCCGAGAGCTGCCAGGAGTTTTTAGCAGCAATGTGTGAGGTGCAAGTGTTAATGTAAATGCAGGTTACGGGGATTAACTGCACAGAAAGCTTTCTTGTAAAATAAACTCAAAAAAGCTCAGGCAGCTCTCTGCCTTTATCTTTTCCTCCCTTTTCACTCCTTTTCCATACTACGTGTGCAAGACGGGCAATGTGTTTCGTCAGGTTGAGTCACCCAGCCAGCCCTCTGAATAACACCCGGAGGAGAACAGAAAAAGAGAGCTTTACGTCCGGTGCCGGGCTCCATAAATGGATTCGGACTTTATTATAACGCTGGCTTATTAAACCGAATGCACATAAGGAGCAACACGCAGATGAACTGCAAAAGAGCTAAGGAGGCGAGACATTGGGCGGGAGCATGAAATGGAGCCTAATCTCAAACATCTGGGTCCTTTGGTACTGTGAGGCCCAAATCACCGCTTTTGGCCAGCGTCGAGGTAGAAAGCTAATCCTGAATTCCTCCAGGGGCAGCAAGCCTAGTTGCCATGTGCCTTTTGATCTCCCTGGCCACTGCCTCAGAAATCAAAGTCAGTCCTGGATATTTTTAAGCTTTTGGACAACGGTTCTCAGAAGCTGCGAGCTCACGGATGGACTCGTTATTTCCGAGGAGCCTTGAGATGCTTTGCTTTTCGTGCTCCATTGCCAGTGGCTCAAGCAAGCTAAGGTATCATATTTTAACTAAGAGTGGCTAATCCAATCCCTGCTATTTATGAAATCGATAATCTCATTTTGCTATTTGCTCCACCCTCTCTTCGTCAACACGCCTTCCAAAAAAGTTCTGGCATTTCAGTGGGCAGCTTATCAAAATTCTCATCAATGAGCAGGATATGGCTTATGAATATGATTTAAGACATTATTCTGCTCTCAAAATCCGCCAATGCAGCCGGAAGTTAAAGGCAATACCAATAAGGTAAGAACAAACATGGTGCTGATTAAAGGGATTACAAAATGTTTGATGAAATGCAGACTCTGAAGGGTGTGTTTACTGACAAACTGCTGAAACCTTCCTGACAGCCACAAAAATAAGAGCATGATGTGTGAAATCAAGCTTTTTTCTGCTATGCTTCATCCAGTGCTATCATTTCTTTGGCGGCGCACCAGGCTCCAATCCAGCACAAGAAATTTATCTGGGACCAGCAAAGCAAGGTACTAATTCAGCATCCAAAAATGATGGGTAAAATCTTGGCTTCGCGGAAGTCAATCTAAAAAGTTCCTGTGACTTCAAATGGGTCCAGCATGTCGCCATATGGGCTGGCTTCTTTGAACTGAACAGAAAGTTTCTCTCTTTCCTTACATACTAGAGATTGGACCACTGTGACTCCAGCCATACATGGGTGAGACATCCGCTGTCCAACTCATGGGGCCAAATCATCTGCAATAATACAAATACATGATGACAAGCCACACTCAACCTGAAGAAGCAGAGCTGGATCTTAAGTTTGCAGCTGGGGTCCAAACGCCTTGCTCTGTCGTTGTAGTACGTTTATCCTGCCCCAGGATGGCATGGGGTAATTCTGCTCCGTGATACACACGTGCGACACCCTCCAATTTTAACAGAAAGAGTCTACAAGCAGAGTTTGCTTTTATACACCTCATTTTCTTCACCCACTAGCTGTGCATTTTAATAACTCTACTGATGTCCTTACAGCTACACCATTGCAAGTAAGAGCAGAATCAGGACCTATGTCTTTCACTTAATTCCTCAAATGTGCCGGTGGGCCGGTTTCTGTTCTTATTCATCCCAAAATGCCTGGCTTATAACATTCCAATGGTTTCAGATATTCACTATAGAAGGAAATCGAGTTAAGTGCCACGGTGGGGGAAAAAAAATCCCAAGGCCTTGGAAACCTCCTTTATTTTCACAGTTAACGACAGCAACCAAATACCAAGAAAACCGTATCAGCTCATTTTCTTCCCTGAAAAAAAAATTAGTAGTAAAATGCATTTCAAAATATTTTAATACTTCTAGTATGTTATTTTTCCAAGTCAAAATAGCTAAGCTGAATCTTTCACCCTGATTCTTTCATTCAAAAGCCAGGGGAAATTTTCTTTTCTTTTTGTGTGTGAAACCTCTGGCCAGCTTTGGTTAAAATATGAAATCAAGTAGCTCCATTTCCTGCCTTCCAAGGCACCGTAAATCAAAACAGAATCTGCGCTCCAAAAACACAGTTATGGGTCTATTAAATGGTTTGACAGTTTTGAGCCTCACCTTCCATACTGCAACATCAGCACGAGGAAAATAACAGGGTAAATAGAAAAGGGAAAGGAGCCGCGAATTTTAACCAATAAAAGATGCGTCCCCGAAAGAGACATCGACTTGACTCTCATTGGCTGGAGAAGGCCAAGTCCGGAAGTGCTATCGAGAGAGTCCCCCAGGGAAAGGAAATGCTTCCCGTCACGGCGCAGTTACCTTCTCTGGCTAACTAAGTGACTTGGATGGACTTTGAAGAGAGTCCCGGCCCATTCTGGACTGCAAATTTTGGTAGCCGCAATATGAGCGTCGAAAAGTTGGCTGTAAAGCTCTGAGCTACGAGACGGGTTCCCATGGGTGCGTATGAAACTTCCCTGCCCCAGGTAATGAGTCTAATTATAGCATATCACGTTTAAAAGTTAATGCTGGAACTTTCCTGTGGCATTGCCAATTCACTTTCATGCCGTAACTTTGTTACTCCAGGGGGACTGCA